CTGTATACACAAATAAATAAATCATTAAAAATAAATAAGTAAAATAAAAAATGTCCATACTCCTTAGAAATTAAAGTTAAATAACGCATCAGGTTGGAAACTTAAAATTGTATGCCCAGTACTAGTGTGCATATACGAAATAGTGAGAGCTTCATGTTACTTTCTTGCCATATGCTTACCTAAAGTATATATACTTTAGGTATGTATACTCATATACATACACACCTTTATCTCACCCAGCAATGCTAAATCTCAGTGCTGAACCTGAGAACATAAGGCAAATACAGAAATATATGTGTAACAAGGATACAACACCATTTTAATTATAACAGCAAGATGTGGGAGAGAAGCCAATATTCACCAATAAAGGATTAGTTAATAAATTATGGTACAATCAAGTGGCTACTAAAAGCCAATTTTTAAAAAGAATATGTGAGTATTTAAAAATGTTCACAGAACATGGGACAAAAAGATAGCAAAAAAGAACAGCATAAACACTCTGACTTTATGAGTGGGAATGAGAAATACCCACCCATAGGAGTCTGGAAAGAGTTCAAAATATTAACTTATTTGGGCCTTTTTACTTTTTTGTTTCTTCCAGAGTTTTTGCTTTGTTTTTCCTAATAAGCATATATTATATTAAACTGGGGAAAACCAATCAATGGTATTTGGGGGGAAACACACAAAAGGTATAAAAATGTAATTATAATTTTTCATTCTTTTTATTTTTAAACTACCAAGAATCATGATCTCTAATTCTATATGTTGAGAAAGAAAATTTATCCAACAATAAAATTTGTCAAATTCAAGAGGTTAGAAATACTGTTTTATTTGAGAAACTTAGATCCAAGTTATTTTTATTTTTAAAAGTCCTAGTGAGCATCCAAGAAGAAAACATATACAGCTTCCACAGGAATAAAGACAAAACAATGCCCCAAATGATATTTCCTAAAAGAAAGAAATGTAATATTTAACCTTTCTTTTTTGGGGGCAAGGTAAGTGAACTGCATACATCATAAATAAAAATTTCTTACTTTACAAGGAGGAAGCACTGTGATCCTGATTTTGTTGCCTAACATCAGAAAAGAGAAAATCCATTCTTGTGAACAAATGAAGTGGGAAAAAATCACTCTTCAACATTTCAATTCTCATGCAATGAAATCCAAAGGTCTGTTGAATCCTCCTTTTCGATTCATGTACTGCCTATGATGAGAAAATTCAATGTTTATTTTAAAAAATTCTGGGCTCCTTTTAAGAAAATAATCGCGTACTTCATAGATTAAACCTACATATAGTTCATCTTTAAAATGCCAAAGTCTAGGCCCTCCCTGATGGCGCAGCGGGTTAAAGCACAGCACTGAGAAGCTAAAGCCACTTCAGCATGAGTTCCATTCCCACCTGCCCCGGAGGTGACCACATGGCGCGGGGAGGTGCCCACATGGCGTGGCAGGCCTCTCCTGACCCGCCCGCTGCTCCCCTCAGCAGCGTATTTCGTCAATCTGCCTGTTCTGCTGCCCACTCTGTCTCTGGTGAAGCCTCTCGCCACCCCTGAGCCTCTGGCCTGTACCCCAGTTCTGTATGCATAAATAAATCTTTTAAAAAAAAAAAAAGCCAAAGTCTAGTATAATAAGTATGAAAGGTTATTTAATTCATATTAAGAGGAGATTGTTTCACTTTCAAATTAAGCCAAAGCCTTTCAGATGCTTTAAAATCCAAATAGTAACATGAATATATACTTTTAAAATTGTATGGGAAGTTTCTACCATTAAAAAATAATTAATTGAAAATCCATATTTATTTTAGGCAGCACACATCTAACTTAAGGAAATAGAGTTCCTAAAAAAGTTCCATATGAAGTAAACTTGACTGCATATTACACTAGTTCTTCCCATAAGACCTGATCTGAAGGCAACACAAAGGACTGTTGATGGACACTTAGTTCACAGCATTCTCAAATCATATTATCCATATTCATAATTGGAATACTAGTCTTGTATCAACAATAAAGGTAGAGATAGGCAATGCTGAAAAGATGGCTTGACTTCACATTCATTAGTAACTCAATAATATTTCAAGTATGATTTGTTTGTTCTGTGGTATTAATAAAATATAACTATACTTAATAGAAGAATACGTTTACAGTTGAAATCCTTACACAGTCTATCTAATAATTCAGGAGGGATTAATTTTAAACCTATAACTATAATGAAACTAAAGCCTACAGACTATGCTGTAGTAATGCTGTTTTGAAGAAAGATCTACAGCCTGCCCTAAAACATTTAAGCCAACTACCCTCTGTGATAGTTACTAGTTAACAGGTAAACTGGAAATTAACACAAGAATGTAAGAAAGATTAAAACAAGGGACCAGAAGGAACTGCTATATTTTCTAAAAATAAGATTATCCCATAATAAACCCTTTCCCAGGCATGTCGTTTATGTCATTAGTTTAAACATAATAATGAAGTCCTCCCTCATGGGTTAGGGGTTAGTATCAACGCTATCACCACCATGACCTGAATTCAATCCCCAATCAGGCAGCCAACCCACAGGGTGCCGAAAACCTCTCCTGTCCTGCCCACTGCTTCCCCCAGCAGTGTATTTCAGGAAATCCACAGTTGTCCACACTCTGTCTCTAGTGAATCCTCTCAACTCCCTGCACCTCTAGCCCATACCACACTTCTATGCAAAAATAAATAAGTACATTTTAAAAGGACAAAAAAACTAACAACACATCCTAATAATGAAGGCTATGCATACCTGTATTTCCTCTTCTGAGACACATTTATGGCATAGGCATTTACAGAGCCATCCACTTTTTTCCCCTGGAGAAAAGCAATAAACAAATATAAGATACATTAAATGCCTCAAACAAAGAACTATCAATAGATCCTATAGACAAACTTAAATGGCAAGATCCATTTAAAAGCAAAGCAGCCCAAGGAGAAAAAGAATTTTCAGATACTGCTGAATTCCATGACTTATAAGCATTACATCTCTTTGTTCACATTTCTATAGCTACGCATTAGAAATTATCACAATACTCAAGCCAATAAATATTCATGGTATATGCATTATGTATAAGGCAGGCAGGATAGAATACCAGATCTTAACATTTTGGTCTAAGAATTATTTGAAAACAAATACAAGTCATGAATATTTTCTCTAGAAAACTTCACATTCACACTAAATTTAAGTTCTGGCCTAAACTCACAGCATTCTTAAATCACATCTCCAACAGTCACTATTCATCTAGATTCCATTTCTGGTACATGCCTTTAAATTTTGATTTTTAAATCAGGAATCAGGATACAGAAAAACAAACTAATGCTAAATGTCATTTATATCTCAGTCTTTTGTGACATTTATCCTTTTTCATTTGTTCCTTTATAGTTTTTTTTTTTTAAACATTTATTTATTTGTGCATACAGAACTGGGGTACAGGCCAGAGGTGCAGGGGCAGTAGAGGATTCACCAGAGACAGAGTGGGGAGCAGAACAGGCAGATCGACGAAATACACTGCTGAGGGGAGCAGCGGGCGGGTCAGGAGAGGCCATGCCATGTAGGTCACCTCCAAGGCTGGGGATTGAACTCATGCTGAAGTGGCTTTAGCTTCTTAGTGCTATGCACCACCAGGGAGGGCCCCTTTATAAATAAAAATTTATTGTGCCTCCAAGCTGTTCCTCACACCTGAACTGCCTTCCTCCTATTCTCCAATTTCCATCCAATCTTCAATTATTTGGCTTTAATTTCTTTTTCAAGAACCAATTCAAATGATCCAATTACCAGGAATACTCTTCTCTAATTCTAACTGATAAAGAGATATGGCTATGAGTTATTTTGCATCCTTACGTACCATTTAAATGTATGAACATCACTGGTTAATGTTACACACACACACACACACACACACACACACACACACACACACACAGGTTAATGTTACACACACACACACACACACACACACGAGACTCCTAGTCATGCAAGCTTATTTTAAATTCTTATGTTAGGTAAACAAAGATTCATTGGCCTAAAGATGGCACAGGTGTGGCACATTAATTGAAGTGAATCTAAAATAAACATGTGGCTTTATTTTTCTATCATATTTTCACTACTTTGTGGGAGAGGGGAAAACAGGGAAAATTACTTGAGATACATGATTTTGACCATCTATAAATAGGATGTGGGTATGACTTGGAGAAAAGTAAATGATACTAACCTTTCTACTAAGTTCAAATCCTAAATGCTTACTGACTTAAGTATTTGCAGCTGCATCTTGTTAGCCATAGTCTCATTTAGATGCTGGAATAGAAAATTATCTTGAAACTTTCTAGACTGTTTAAATGGAAGTCAAAGTAAGTGACTACACTGGCATATGAAAAAGTCCCATCACAGATGAATGATGAAATGTCATAAAACAGACATCACCGAAAATTACAAAGAGCTAAGAGACTTTATAACTTCCATGAAGCAACTGTACACAAACTAAATTTACATCCCTGTAGATGTCACAAAATAAACAATTGACATCATTTGTCCTTACAGTAGTCCATAATTTTTATGGATCTATGCATTCTTACTTAATTTTGCCTTTAAAAGCAAACATCTTCAGCAGAGTCTATCTAAAGGTGCAGTATGACTACATCTTTATATCAAATTGGCAGAGATTTCAAACCTAGTATCAAGGTATCAGTAAAAGCAAAAAAATAATTCTGGTAAGTTCCCTCCCTACTTTTCCAAAAATTTCACTGCTTTAATTTGGAATTTTTTTAAAAAAAGATTTATTTACTTATGCCTACAGAACTGGGGTACAGGCCAGAGGTGTGGTGGTTGAGATTCACCAGAGACAGAGTCGGGGGCATAACAGGTAGATCAATTGAGGTACTCTGAAGGGAGCAGCAGGCAGGACAGGAGAGGTTTGTCACACCATGTGGGTCAGCTCCCTGGCTGGGGATCCAACTCATGCTGCAGTGGCTTTGGAGGGCTTCACAGTGTTGTGCTTTAACCCACTGTATCACCAGGGAGGGCCCCTAATTTGGAAATGTTTTTACTTACACACCATATTTATCAATAAACAATTTCAGCTCAAGTTTTTGGAAAAACTAATAAGGACTTGGTATATTTAAGAGAAAATATAAGCGGACACATAAGTTGCAATAAATTCCAAAATGAGGTTCATATAATCATTTGTAAGAACAAAAGCTCACTCCTAATTTTCTCAACTCAAAAAGTTGTGCCTTCTCTCAAATCACATGAGTTTGGCACTATCAAAACCAGTTAAAAAGAAAACCCTAGAGCATCTGTGATTACCTCCCTCCATTAACAACTCAGTGGGAAACAAGATTAGAGCACATGGATTATTTTTGAGTTTTTCTTAAAAATCTCAATTTCCATTTGTAAAGCTAAGTGCACTTACAATCTTGTAAAAGGTTTTAAAAGTAGGGCCGTTTCTGGTGGCACAGCACTGTGAAGCTCTCCACAACCACTGCAGCACGAGCTCAATCCCCAGCCAGGGAGGTGACCCACATGGCCTGGCAGACCTCTCCTGAGCCACCCACAGCTCCTCTCATGTATTTTAGTCAATCTGCCTGTTCTGCTCCCCACTCTATGATGAAGTCTCTCATCCCCCCACCTCTGGCCTGTGCCCCAGTTCTTACATGTGTAAGTAAGTCTTAAAAAAAAAAGGTTTTAAAGTTTATTTTCTCTTTTCTAGTTCCTTTATTAGTTTTCTCTCTCCATCCTCTTCCTTTCTCCTCTCTCCAATTCACTTCTATTTCCTTCTTCTATTTCTGCCCGTGCTCTCTCCCATAGTACTCTCTTCATGTCCCTTCTCCACCACAATTCTTCTCTTTCCCTTTCTCACTTCTAATCTCACTGGTATTATGATCAAGGCTAGACAGCATTCACTTTCCAATCTACTCTTCCTTTGAGTTGTGAGATCTGCATTCAGCTATCCCAAATCATCTTCATCTGGCAGCTGAATTTTGTTCTCTGGTGTCATAGCACCTCCCCTTTCTATAGCCCCTTTGGCTAACACGTTTCACCCACTCTTTCAGTCTGGCTGTTCAATTCCAACTTCTACAACCACTAACTTTGGCTCTGCAGTGGTTCTCAATGTTCCAGTTCTTCCTCTCAGTTCAGCTCTTCATCATCTTTTACTTACACATTTCAGCCATTCTGTCTCCAATTTAACCCTCCATACCTGGTTATCTTTCTGAAATGTACATAATCCTGTTACTGCCTGCTTAAAAATAATTGTTTCCTCTCAACTTAAACAACCTTAAATTCCTTAGCACAGATACGGGCACCAAAAGTCCTCTACAATTCAGTCACCAGCTCATCACCAGCCTTTTACCAATTACTGAATATGAAACTCCCATAATACACTATGTTCTTTTATGCCTGCATGGCATTTTCATAAGCTCTTTCTACTATTTGCCTTTTACTATCTAACTTAAAAATGTCACCCAAACATAACCTGAATTCCAATGGCAATTTACTGCCTCCTCCTCCCTGTTCTTAAAGCACCAATAGTTATTATCTTGTAACAAATAAACTTGTATAGTGGAAAACATCACAAGTAATGGTAAAAGAATATGTAAAAACTGGGCAATCATTAATGGGTTAATCAAAATCAGAATGACTAACTGGCTCAGTATTTTACTTACTTTTGTGGAGTCGAAGGAGGCAAATCCCATTAACTTCATCATTTCTATTTCCTCCTCTGTTTTGCCCTCTAAATCTTCCTCTGCAATAACAAGCGGTAATGTTTTAAATCTCTACTGTCGCATACACACACACACACACACACACACACACACACACACACACACACACACACACAGAGAGGTGGCAATAAGTTAGCCATCATTCCATCTAACCATCAAGAACATACAAACGATTAGCAAAAGACTTGAATCTAATGAAAAAGCAAAATTCCTTTTCAATTTGGACAGAATCTTACTTAAGATGTAGAGAGGAAATATGCTCTCCATTTTCCTTTATCAGTAAAGATTGTTTTAAAAAAGATATGCTCACTGACTTTGGACAGGACCACCTTTACTACCTGACATACTAGTTTGGAATATATTTTCAAGATAAGAGTATAACCTTTCTATATCAGAAACACCACAGATAACCAGCAACTAAGGTACAACTAAAACAAAATCTCATATGTACTGGGGCCCTGGTGCTCAGAGCTGTTGCCGTGTCTTTAAGGACTAACCTGATGTAACAGCTCAAACTGGAGGCTGTTGTGGAAAGGATCAAGGTCTCCCAGGCAGCCACAGCACTTCAACACTACCGCATATAGAATCCTGAAAGGATTCTGGTCGATATTCAGTCAGAAGAATTCCCTTCTGAAGCCTAGGTCTTATATTTTACTTTGAAGACAGCAGAGAAGATGTTCCCTGAGGAATGCTTTCAAGAGCAAAGCAATGAATGACTGACTCCAAGTCTGAAGAAAACATGCTTCTCTGGCCAAATGACTCTGATATTTCAGATCATTCTGTGACTTAGTCCTATAACCAAAATTCTATGAAAATTAGGAGTTTAAAAAAAAATTAGGAGTTTCTACTTAATAAAGGAAGCTAAGTGAAACAGATTTTTAATAATTGGCAACTTTTTTGGGGTGAAGTGCATTCTACTTAAAAAACATCACCAAATACATCTATTTCATAAGTGAATCTCTACTGTTTCTATACCAGGAATAGTGTATGTGCTTTATTTACTGCATGTCTACATTTTGGGAAGAAGAGTTTTCTCAAAAAACCTGAATTTGTATAATGGTATCATTTCATATCATAAAAAAATTTGTTTTCCATGAGTTTATTTCTAAATGAAGACAAACATGTATAAAATTGGGAGAATAAGCACTATTAATTAAATGATGTCAATTTTTCTAAATGAGAAGATTGTTTTTAACTCTAAACATGGGAATTGTTCTTAGCACACTTATTTGGAAAGATTAATGTTGTGTTTACCAGACTGCCTATTCCTGTCTATAAAGCAGAATTGATCCTTGGTTTTTAGTTCCTTTATTTTATAGTTGTGGTAGTTTAAAAACAATACTGTATTATTTCCTGTCTTTTAAAAACTGTTTAAATGTGGCCCTCAGAACATTGCAAGTGATTAAAAAACAAAGAAATGAGAATATTGCAATCTAAATGCATTCTTAATGTTACAAGTATTTTATTTTGATGATGTGCCTTTGATTTAATTTGGGACACTCACAGGGTATTTTGTGTTTGTAATAATCTTTGAGGAACTTGGAGATAAAATTTCTGCTCAGCTGTGTAGAGGACCCTCAAATTACTAAAAATTGGTTCTACCACATGACCTATCAATTCCACTCTTAGGGATACCCAAAAAGGGCACAAAAACATTAATTTGAAAGGAAACTGATACTCCTATGTTTACTGCAGCACTATATATAACAGCCAAGATATGGAACAACCTAAATGCCCAAAAATAGAGGACTGGATCAAGACAATGTGGTATATACACACAATGGAATACTATTTAGCAATCAAAAAAAGAGAGAGAAACTCATGCCATTCACAGTAACATGGAGGGAGCTGGAAGGGATTATGCTCAGTGAAATAAGTCAAAAGGAAAAAGAAAAATATCAGTTTCACTTGTAAGAGGAATATAGGGAAACTGGACAAGGAAGAAAAAAAAAAAAAAAAAAGGCAACTATAAATCCAAGACATCTAGCAAGGAAGGGGAGCAGGAGGGGTCAGAAAAGTGGGAAGATCACAAGAGACTATCGTAACAATTCCATAATGATGTGGTGGGAATTTTATGGGGAGTACACCTGAGGGAAAAAAATCAAGCCCTGTATAACAATGAATAGCAATGTAACATAAATATGGTTAAAAAAAAAAAGTTGGAAGGGAACTCTAGAGATGTTCTGGCTCAGTTAAGTTTCCACATGGAAAAGTGCTTTGCATATGGTCTTATCTTATTAGAAATGCCAGAAATAGAACCCAGGCCTATAATTCACAGTTGAATTATAACTGCACAATTTTACAGGATGAAAACATCTTCACGCAGAGTAGTAATGTTTGTCTCTTGAATGAATCATTTAACTTCTCTGAAATTCAGACTTCTCATGTTTACAATGAAAAGATAGACCCAAATGAAAGTTTTTTTGTTTTTATAAAAATAAAAAAATAAATTTCTGCTTAGTTCATCATTTTCTATGAAGAACAAAAAACCTCTGAAAACAACAAAAATCCTGTATGCAAAAACACTATGACATATTTAAATGTTGAAAACATATTTTGTAATTCTATCATAACTGAAGTTATCTAAAGAAGATTGTACTTTTACTATGGTCATTTATTTAATTAGATTACCCGTAATCTGACGTTCTTTGTTCTTTGTTTCTTTTGTTTCTTTCTTTTCCTCATCTCTTCTTTCTTTCAGTCGAGAAGGGGAAGGAGATGTAGATCTGTGCCTTCTTGGGGATCTAATATTTAATAAGTAAAGATGCAACAAAGACAAATGTAGAGGATGTGTAAATAAGCACAGATATACACCAGTGTCTGAAAGGTAAAGCTCCACAAATGTCAGGCTCCAGAGAAGCAAGATTTCATTCTTCAAAGGTTCTGTCTAGGCCCTGACTGTTAAAAAGAATTAAAACTACAGTTTATTACTTAATCATCAGGCTCAGGAGGGTGAGGGCTAAAAGATTTCTTAGAAGGAAGAAAAATTTAAAAAGCTTCTAACAATGGCATAAATACAAAAGAGTTTAGCCAGTCAATTAACACTTATTAAGAATCAAGAGTTAACATCTAAGGTTCTTTAAGATCTCACATTCTTGATATATACATGAATAAATCACTATCACCAAATTTAACAAAAGCTAAAATAAAAATAAGAAACACATTTCTTCCTTTTGCCAAGCACCAGGCTAACTGCTTTTCATGTTTATCTCATTTACTCCCCAAGTCAACTCTACTGCGCTGAGAATTATTAACCTTATTTCATCACTGGAAATGTTAGGCTTACAATAAGGTGGGCTTTAGTTCCCCTCCTTTCATGAAATTGCCTCTTTTTACAAGTGACAAAAACAAAGCTAAGGGCAACGAATAGGACCTATACTTTCTCTGGGATCTGTAGTGAAATTACTGGTTATTTCTGCACTTACCTGGAGCGTCTTCTGTGCGGGGATCGAGAGCGGCTCCTCCTTCGATCTCTCTCTCGGGATCTAGATCTTTCTCGGCGCCTGCGATCTCTCTCCCGGGATGTGGACCGGGACCTTCTACGCTCTGGTACAAGTACAAAAAATTGCAGAGCCAAAAATTACCACAAATATCTTGAGGTGCTCTAATAAAATATAAAGCTAGACATTTTTAGTGGTCACATTTAAAAAATAAACAGGCGGAATTACTTTTTAATAGTACATTTGAATCAATATAGCAAACTACTATCATTTCAACATGTACTTGATATAAAAATTACTGAGGCACATTACATTTTGGGGGGCTGATAAAAACAAATCAGATCCAGTGTTTATTTCACTAAAACATCACTTTTGAATTGAGAAAAGTTTAAGTGTTCAATAGCTACAAGTGTCTTACAGCTTCATCTAATTTAAGAAAATCAAATCTTGCTACATCCTGAGTTCCATCCCTGGCCAGGGAGCTGACCCTCATATTGGGCAGCAGACCTCTCCTATTATAAATCGGGAAGGAAATTAACACCGCGCATTTAAGAACCAGTGGGTGTCAGAGGCTGAGTGTTAATGGTCTGTGACATTTTCACATTGATTTATAAAGGTAGCTATTATCCCAATTGTGTAATAACGGGAATTCAGACTTAGACTAGATAACGTGCACACGGACACTCAGAAATTCAGTGAGGCAACTGTGGCCTGACTCGAAGCTCCCTGAAACAAATATAACAGAAATTACTGTATGAGCCTGACAAAGATTCGGCGAGATCCTAATTTAGGTGGGGCGGGCGGGATCTGCCTTCAAACAAGACTCAAGAGTGTGGGGACTTGGTTCCCCCATCTAACCCCATTTTCTTCTCTGAAGAAAACAATGTCTGGCTTCCGCTGCCCTCGTACTGAAAAGTAAAAAAGGACAAGCTTCCCATCAAGCCCAGACGCCCCACATTTCTTCTGAACTCACCCCTCCGTGGGGAACGGCTGCGGCTGCGACCCATTCGGAGTCCTCCTCTAACTCACACCGCCCCGGAAACGACTTGCAACAACTTCCGGGAGCTGAACTTTCACCATCGACTGGAAAACGTCGAAACGAATCGCTGGGGTTCCGGCTTCTGAAGAAGGGACGCGGCACTGAGCCTGCCCAGAATCTTGCGCCCGCCGGTTGCTGGAGAGAATAGTTGTCTTCTTAGCTCCTCCTGCCACACTTAAAGGTGGCATCCCCATCTTCGGTGTCCACGGTGTGCTACTTAATTTTACAGAAATGCCTGGTAAAAGTTGTATACCCAACACCCTCTCATTCTTACTTTTTCTTTCCAGTTTTTGTACACAAGCATACAATATTTCATATCAAACAAATTGAGATTTTTGATAAAGAAGGTGGTTGGGGGAGGATACTGACTTCTCGCTTGGCAGGTTTGCAAATGAAAGGCATACTCAGAAGGGGGAATCATTTGCTGACTCTAGCAATTAGTTAACCTTGGAACAGGCAGTGTCAGAAAAGGCCTGAGGTGTAAAAACATCAGAAAAACCATTATTTACACAGTATTTATTTATTGTATACCTACGTGCCAGAGCTGTTAATTAGTAAAAAATGATAAATTAGTGAAAAAGCCTTCTCTTGAGTAGCTTGCAATCTAGTGAGGGAAACAAAGTGTGAAAGTGCATTGATGGGGAAGGACAAAGTAGAATGCTAATAGATGGTTTGTGGAGGGGTGGGGTGAGGGGTGAGTGGGAGTCTTCAATAAAAGTTTCCAGGAAGAAATGATGATCAAACAAGATCTTTAGGATTTAGAGTAGAAATTAGCTAGGTTAAGTAGGGTATGTTAGCTGTGGGGAGTGGTGTAAGATTGTTCAGAGGAGGCTGTTTGTACCATGTGCAAAAGTCAAGGAATTAAACAGGCTGTTTTAAGAATTAAGGTGGCCATTAAGGGAACAAGGAATGGAGACTACAATAATCTCGTAAAGTATGGTAGAGTTATCCTGAGGCAAAATAAGGGGGTCTTTGTAGGGCTTAGGGGTGAAAAAGTCAAATTTGAGTTTATTTGGACAACACTTTTGGGTAATGCGGAGACCTGATAACTGGGTAAATAACTGAATGCTGGCCCAGTAATCTACATTGGAAATTACAGTGGCCTGTACTAGTAGAATGGTATCAGTAGGTATGGTAAAAAGTGGCTTTAGTTGAGAAATGTAACTGGACAAACTTGATTTATGGGTGTTGAGGATGAAGGAATTAGATTCTAAAATGACATCTGGGCCTCTGGCTTGTGAAATTGGGTAGGTAATATCATTTCCTAAGATAAGGCATACAAGACAAATTCTAGGGAACATGGATATCCTCAGATTTGAACCTGCTGATTCAGGTGTCATTTTGAACTCACAAAAGGAGTTGCCAACTAGATGTGTATGTGCAACTCAGAAGAGCAATACAGACTGGGAACTATATATAAAGCAATCATCACAATATAGCACACAGATAATCACTTAAGGTCATGCAACTGCATAAAATCACCTAGTAATGGTTCAGGAAAGAAAAGGGCCTGGAGACCAAATAAGTGAGAGAAACAGGAAGAAAAACAGTTGAGTGTTCTGTCAGGAAAGTTTAATACTGCTTTTAAGGTTAATGCTAAATGTTAGTTAGAAGGTATGAAAAAGAAGTCTTTGTTGATTGAGGAAATTTTAGTGGAGCTGAGTTGTGAGTGGTTTTGTACAGGGTGACAATTTTGAGAATTCCTTTGAGAAATTTGGTTGATGCAGGACAAAGCATAACAGTGGTGGAGGTAACATGTGATTGAAGGTTTTTCAAAGAAGGGGTAAACCAGCACATTTAAATATTGGTGTGAGGGCACTCCCTGGTGGCTTAGCAGCAGGTTAGAGTGCAGCACTGCAAAGCTGGTGGTGGCTACTTCAGTGCAGTTCAATCCCTGCTCCGGAGGTGACCCACATGGTGCAGCAGACCTCTCCTGACCAGCTGCTCCCCTCAGCAATATACTTTTGTCAATCTGCCTGTTCTGCTCCCCACTCTGTCTCTGGTGAATCCTCTCACCACCCCTGCACCTCTGGCCTGTACCCCAGTTCTGTATGCATAAATAAATAAAATCTTTTAAAAAATAAATATTGGTGTGAATTAGTAAATAAGAAAAAAGTAAAAATACAGAAGGGTTAGGAGAAAACCAAAGGCATGAGTTCCTTAAAGGCACAGCCCTGAAAACAAACTTAGCTAGAAAATACTTATCACCAAATGGCTCCTTTTCCTTTAAGATCTTGGGATAGAAATTGCCTTCTGCCAAGACCTCTTTTTTTCCTGATGAAGAGTATTTATCATCTCTCAAATGTAGTTTACCCTGCACCATATATACTTAGTACTATTTCTGTAAGATAAATTCCATTTTTCATATATAGTTTGAGATTCCTGTATTCTAAAGGCCATTTTAATGGAATCAAAGTAGAGCAGAATGGTCCAATGTCTACACTTGCTTTTAAGTTCCCTTACCAATCAGTTACTTTTTAGTTAAAACCCGTAAAGTATGTATGGCACCTTATTTAAGAACCAACATTAACTGTGATTCTCTATAAATGTATTATCTACAGACTTTGTTAAATGTTTTATCTTTGCTATTCTTTACATGGGTTCAACTTTTAGGGACTATGAGAAGTATACTGTGGGCTCATAGTTTCAGTGTGAATAGTCCAATATTCTTTTTTTTTTTTTTATTAAAGATTTACTTATTTATGCTTACAGAACTGGGGTACAAGCCAGAGGTGTGGGGGGGGGGTGTGAAATGAGACGATTCACTAGAGACAGAGTGGGGAGCAGAAAAAGCAGATCAACTGAAATATACTGCGGAGGGGAGCAGTAGGCGGGTCAGGAGAGGTCTGCCAAGCCATGTGGGTCAGCTCCCTGACTGCAGTGGTTTTAGAGAGCGTCATAGTGCTGTGCCTTAGTACAATATTCTTGACCAACTCTTAGAACTTCTTGCAATTGTGTAAATATTGTAAATCTGCACTGTCTAATATGGCATCCTCTAGTTATTTGTGGTTATTATGAATTTACTTACAAAGTGCTTGTTATGACTGAAGAAATTTAAAATTTAATTTTATTAACTTAATAGCCACAGTGAGATTCTTGGTAACTCTACTGTTGCATGTGACATTTATATTAAGTCATATACGGTGGTAACCCCACTTGAAATGTAATAAAATGTTGGCTGCTGTAAACTTAGTGATAAAGCTAGTGACTACCACTGCAGTTGTTTATTTTTACCTATTTTGTTAAGTTTCAAGCTAAATCCATTTTTTTTTTTAAAGAAACAGTATAGTCATATTCTTTAAGAATTTAGAGACTGGAAAATATTTTCTTGTAAGGGCCCCTTCTTTACTGAGAGCCAAGAAAAATAATTAATAGATAATTAAAAAAAGATTTGGAAAAGCAAAAAGTTAACAAATACAAAAGCTTTCATATGCAATAGCTTATATATTTCAGCTGAAATTATTGAATATATTCCTATTAAAAACAGAAAGTATGGGGCCTGCCCTGGTGGCACAACAGATTGAAGCACAGCACTACGAAGCTAGCTGCTGTCCCTTCAGCATGGGCGTGGTCCCTGGCCAAGGAGGTGACCCACATGGCACAGCAGACCTCTTCTGTCTCACCTGCTGTTTCCTCAGCAGTGTACTTTGCAAATCTGCCTGTTCTGCTTCTCACTCTGTCTCTGGTGAATCCTCTTATAGCCTCTGTACCTCTGGCCTGTACCCCAGTTCTGTATGCATAAATAAATAAAATCTTTAAAAAATAAAAACAAAATAAAGTATACAAAGTATTTGGTAAAAAACCCCTAGCTATCTCTGCTATCAATGTGAAGTACTCGTTGATAGTGACCCAATTTCTCAAGTGAGAAAACAATCACTTGTCATTGAAGAAACAATGTTTTGTTCATAGATGATAAATTTAGCAACTTGTCATTGAAGAAACAATGTTTTGTTCATAGATGATAAATTTAGCCAGGAAACACACACACACACATATACACAATGGGCAAGAACCATATATATATATATATGTATATATAAATTTATATAAGTTAAATTTACTCATTTATATACTGAAACTTTAACTTCATTGTCAAGATTTGAAAAATTCTATTCAAATAATTCAAGATTAGTATTTATATATTTTTAATATTTAAAGGGTATCTTTCTTATGCTATAAAATTAAACCAAAAGAACTCAGAGCTATAACTTTCACCGAATATAGGTAGAAATACAGCCTTTTGATATAATCAAATCATTGTTTTCAAAACTTCTAAACTATAGTTTTGGGTGTGGAGGTGGAAGAAGCATTTTAAAAGTTCAAGAGGAGGGCCCTCCCTGGTGGTGCAGCAGGTTAAAGCACAGCACTAAGAAACTAAAGCGACTTCCCGCATAAGTTCGATCCCCACCTGCCCCGGAGGTGACCACATGGTGCGGCAGACCTTTCCTGGCCCGCCTGCTGCTCCCCTCAGCAGTGTACTTCATCGATTTGCCTGTTCTGCTCCCCGCTCTGTCTCTGGTGAATCCTCTCACCCTCCACATCTCTGGTCTGTACCCCAGTTCTGTATGAATAAATAAATCTTTAAAAAAAAAGTTCAAGAGGAGAATCCATTTTGAAAGGTCAAAAGCAATTTATAAATCTATGGACTTAGTATTGGGCAAGAAAAAATATTAATAAATTCTAAAAGTTAAATGTAATTGAAAAAATCGTACATGAAAGAAAAAAATCTGATTTCAACTAAAGTTTTTTTGGTCCACTTTATATGAATTTATTTATTCTCTTTTTCAAATGGGTGTTTATTATTTGTACACATACATAAAAATGACCCCCATTTTAAAAAACATTAAAACTATACATTAACCACAAAAAGTACTTATTCTACCTGGGAAGAAAATGAACATGGCTATTTTCAAAATAGCAATAAACACAAGAAGCCAAGAAATATAAATCATGACAAATGTACACCTCATTTTTGACAAAAATAAGTTCTATTTTTACATTAATATTTTATTATCAGCTCTATATGAGATCCTCTGTCCTTATTTACAATTATTATGAAATTTCTACTAGGATGTGTAACTCAAAGGCACTCAATTCAGAGGTTATAAAGTCCTGAGCTTAAGTGGGAAATAGGTTTCCCAATAAAACTGGAACATAAAATAATTCTAAAGATCTGAGAATATGAGATATGAAGGTATTTCAAGTGTAGTATATAACACAAAATAACCCACAACCTAATAATAAAGTTGTATAGAAGGTCAAAGACAATACATGTAAGGTAAAAGAATATCCTTAGAATCAAATTGATTTTCTGCTCCATTCAAGTTTATCTGAAAGTTTGGAAGCTGATCTTTTCTTTTTGGTAAAATCCTACGAAAGCTAAATTAAAAGCAAATGAAATAACATGAAAATGCTTAAGATTCTTATCTCAGTCTCCCAAACTAAAGCAGTTAATGATTAAAAACAAGTATAGATAGGGCGGATATTAGAGTAAGGGGAAGAATCATAAAAAGAAGTTGAAAAAGTCTAAGGACAGCTTTTAAACACACCCATTTAAGAGCATATTTATAACTGGACAAATTATTCCTTTAGTATTCTTTTAGCCAAATAAAAAGAATTTTATAGATTGATAACTGAGGTCACTAACATTAGGTAGGATCAAAGTTTAAGCTAAAAATTAAATCTATAGTTGTTTGCAAAAAAATGTGAAATTTACCTACTGCAGTTTCCTACTGATGCTAAATTAAAGCATGAATTGACACCTTGTAATAGAAATGGTTTAACAGATATTTTCTTGGCTTTAAAATGTTATTTCATATATGCATAGAAATATGATGAGGATAACAATAGTCTTCTGTATTATCTGTACAGTTCATAAGGCCTTTGTTTTGTTAGTCACCTTAAATGTGAGTATCAGTAGGGCCATTAAGTAAAAGATGGCCAAAGAGTTTTCAAAGTGCTACTGTTTCCATATGATGAGATCCTCAGTTTTCTGGATTTTCTGGATGACAATTATTTTCAGTTCTTTTTTCTGGTGATATATACAGGAAGTTACAGCAGATGTATAAAGGGAAGATCAGAAGCCTGCTGTCCAAGTTCATCACTACTTGTTCCTATAAAATAAATTTGTAGGTTTAATGACAAGAGTAATATTAAAAAAGAAAACCAAACTGTTAAATGAAATGAGGGAGAGTACGGGAAGAGCTTTAATCTAAAGTCTGAGAGTCACCACCCAAATCTCCAAACTCCCATTATTAGTTGTGTGACCCTAAGCAAATCAGTTATCAGTTGCAGCTTTCTCACTATAAACGCATCAATACACAATAAGAGCATCTGCCTAGCAGAATTACATTGTGAAATAAATAAGACAATGCACATAGAATGACTCAGCAAAGGCAGCTATAAAAGAAGTACTAAATAATGGAAGTTATTTTCATTATTGCAAAAATTTGTATTAAGAATCTAGATACTTTATATGTAGAAAGAGTTCAGAAATATTAAGAGTTCTCATTTGGCTTTAATTTCTGGTAGGCCTTTAAGTACAGCAAGTGATAAGGAAGAGTTAACACCAACAAGCCTAGATCCTGTTCTGAATTCCCATTATCTCTAGTGTAAACATGTCATCTGTCTTCTGGAATGTAAAATGCCATGTAAAATCAATTTGAGGTTCATTTACATCAATACACATGAGAGTGCCTTGAAATCCTAGAGACAGGAGTTGCTAAGACACCTGAGAACCACAAATTTAATCTTCACTTAGGTGACAGATCTCCATTTGGGACTTTTTACCAGATGCATTTGGTGAACGGGGAAAAAATACTCATAGAGTTAAAGCAGAACCACTGAAATGGGAACTCCTCCTTTCTGAATACTTGGACAGCTTCTCTGTAGTAATATGCATTAGTTTTATCATATTCTATATATCCTGAAAAATACACTGGCAAGCACTTTATATCCATCTTTTACTGTGGCATGTGCCCCTGTGATGAAGAGGAGCTAAAATTGACCTTGTTGAGTGCTCAATTTAGGCTCAGACCTAGACACAACTGGACTCAGCTTATATGCTGGGGGAGCAGCAAAATAAACCTGAACAAAGGAGGTAGGGAATATAAACACACATATAGTATCTCTACATTCCTAACCTCTAGCTATGTAGATGATAGGTTCTTTATTAATATATTCTCTTTTGAGTGGTGGTTTAGTTTTAATAGAAATAAAACTCCTCAATATTTTAATAGCTTTCATTTTATTTTTTGAAAATGGTTAACATTCTCATCATGACACTTATACATCATTGAAACTTATATGTGCACATAATATAAAAGAAACAAATGGCATTTGGGAGTATTACAGATATCATTTTATAAACCTATTGTGCCACAGTATTTTTACTGTATTCATGAGATGTGGGAACATACTGGGTTATTTTTTTTTTTTAACTTTTTTTTTTTTTTTAAAGATTTATTTATTTATTTGTGCATACAGAACTGGGGTATAGGCCAGAGACTCAGGGGTGGCGAAAGACTTCACCAGAGACAGAGTGGGGAGCAGAGCAGATCGAGGAGGTACACTGCTGAGGGGAGCAGCGGGCGGGCCAGGAGAGGTCTGCCACGCCACGTGGTCACCTCCGGGGCAGGCGGGAATCGAACTCATGCGGAAGTGGCTTCAGCTTCTTAGTGCAGTGCTTTAACCCGCTGCGCCACCAGGGAGGGCCCATACTGGGTTATTTTTTAAGGAGTTTGCCATTAATGTAAAAATAAATGCAATTATGAACACAATGGGTAAAGCAATTAAGAATCGTACCTTTTTAAAGATGATATTCAGGATAAACAATTATTTCCCATTATCTACTTTTCCCTGTCCCTCAAATCAAATTGTATTTTTCATCATAATTACATATCCAGAGTAGAGCAAGTTATGCAAAAATGAATGTTACATTCATCTTTATGTTTACAGAACTTTCATACCAATCTTTAAATTAAATGTTAACTCTACTTAAAAAATTTCAAGAGCATTCAAAAAACAAATACTATCAATAAACAGAAAAGTAATCCACCATACCTGATCCTTTTCAAGTGTAAGTATCTGATAGCCAGTTGTTCTACTACATATTAATTTTCCACTGCTATCAAAAGAAGCCAAACGTAATCTAGAGTTTAAAAAATATATAAAAAGTAAACACAATTTTTAAATCAGATTAAAGTAAGCACCTTATTTTAATTTTTCTATATTACTAATAAGTTTTTTATTCCCTGTAAGTTTATAACTATAAATGGATTCAGTTAGAAGCTTATACTAATATTATGCATATCTAAGACATAATAGTAAGATTTTTATCATTATAAAACATATATAAAATTTACTATTTTAACCATTTTCAAGTGTGCAGCTCTGTGGCATTACATATATTCACAATGTTCTGCTATTGCCACCATCCATATCTGCAGAATTGTTCTATAAGTGAAACTGTACCTGGTGACCCTATTTCTCCTTACCTCAGTCCATAACCACCACCCTATTTTCTGTCTCTGTGAATCTATTTCTTCTACAGAGAGTATAATATCCTTTTGTGATTGGTTTATTTCACTTAGCATAAAGTCTTTAAGGTTCATCATGTCGTATCATGTGTCAGAATTTATTCCTTTTTTTAAGAAGAGGAATTTCTGGATCACATGGTGATTCCTTTAATTTTTTGAGGAAATGCAATTCCATTTTCCACAAAAGATGCACCATTTTACATTCTTATCAACAATGCACAACGGTCCAAAATAATGTTATTTTGGCTTTGTCTTTTTGTATAATTTAAGCCGCCCTAAATGGGTGTGAGGTGTATCTCACTGTGGTTTTGATTTGCATTTTCTGAATGATTAGTGATACCGAGTATCTACTTATTGTCCATTTGTATATCTTTTTTTGAGAAAGATTTAAGTCCCTTGCCCATTTTTGAATCAAGTTGTCTTTCTGGGGGCCTCCCTGGTAGCATAAGGGGTTATAGCACTACGTAGCTATCTGCAGCCACTATAGGCATGAGTTTGATCCCTGTCCAGGGAGGTGACCCACATGGCACAGCAGACCTCTGTCTTACCTGTGCTCCCCTTAGCAATGTATTTCAATAAATCCATCTGTTCTGCTTCCCACTGTCTTTGGTAAATCGTCTCACCCCTGCACCTCTGGCCTCAACCTCTGTTCTTCTATGCCCCAAGAAAAGAAGTTGTCTGTTATAGTTTCAGGAATTTCCTATATATTCTGAATGCTAACTCCTTATCATATATATGGTCAGCAAATATTTTTTCCCATTTTATAAGTGTCTGTCCACTCTGCTAATGCTTTGATGCATACAGTCTTTAATTTTGATGAAGTCTAACCTTTTGTTATTGTTGTTGTTGTGTGTTGGTCTCATATTGGAAAAAATCACTGCCATATCATCATAAAGTTTTACCTACACTTCCTCCTAAGAGTTATTTTTAGTTTTTTTTTTTTTAAGATTTATTTATTCAGGCATACAGAATGGGGGTACAGGCCAGAGGTGCAGGGGTTGTGAGAGGATTCACCAGAGACAGAGTGGGGAGCAGAACAGGCCTACTGACAAAGTACACTGCTGAGGGGAGTAGCGGGCAAGACAGGAGAGGTCTGTCGTGCCAATGTAATTACCTCTGGGTCTGAGGACTGAACTCGCACTGAAGTGGCTGCAGTTAGCTTGCAGTGCTGCATCCTAATCCACTGCACCACCAGGGAGGGCCCTATTTTATAGTTTTAACTCTTATATTCTGATCCACTTTGAATTTTTTTTTTGGTATAAATATATATATATATATATATATATATATATATATTTTGTTATAAGAATATGACTTTTACATAATTTGCTCATTAAGCTATTTTACAATTTGTGAGTATCCTTCCCAGAAAAAAGATGGCCAGCTCAATTATCAGGCAAGTCAATAGGTCAAATCTTATAGGAAATTAAGAACAACATCAGAAAAGTCTCCCTAGAAAAGACTTCACTACATATTAAAAATCTTACTTGGTATGAATAGCAGGAAGTTAACAGCTTCAAATACAGTGTCAACCCATTCATTCATACCCCAGCCTATTCTTTTTCTCTACAATTCCAAATTTTGATTTTTCTACATTTCATATATACATAGAAGTGAAGCCTTATCATTTCCTTGTACTTTCATATATATAGTATCTTACCAAGTTCTACTGTTTTTGGTATAAATTATCAAAATATTTTATTTGTTTTTTCCCGTGGAGTTAGGAAAGAGTGGGATAAGGAATTCTCAGTTTACCTAAATGCAATGCTCCTTCGAGGCTGTAAACTGACAGATCCACTACATGGCTGGTTCAGTGTATTGCGTTTGAAAATGATGTATCGATTGGTGTATGTTACAAGCAGGTCAAAGCCAAAGTTGAAACCTGTCCACCGCCAGCAGTACTAAGAAATACAAAAGAGAAAAAAACTTATTTTAGTTTATCATATCAGCAATTCAAAAGCAAAAAGCTCAAAGTATCTTTTTTTTCCCTCTCATTCCAAATATTTCTCTCATGATTCCCAATTTTCATTTGTGCTTTCCCTGTCACTTACCGCACAGAATATATCTGAATATATATAAGGTTTACCATGCAAAATAATACTTATCAAAACCAAGAAAGCAGTCTTAATGATTATTATTCCTTATTTTCCCAATTTCTTCTTCATGGTTAGTTTCGCTATCTCTCCGACTTTAATTCTATCATAAGTAATATGACTTTCCACTGCAATTCTAAGTATACATAACTTAGGAGACAGGTGGTTAAGAGTCCAATGAGCATCATAAGAATCTATTAATACCTACCTTGCTTTTATTTTAAAGTACTCTAAAATACCTTAAGTAACTAACTAGCCAATGATAAAAAAAAAAATTGAATTGTTTTACATGCCATCACAAGGCTCACAATTTGTTTAATCTATCACCTGACAGTCAATTAGAGGCTATTAGGCAACACTGTGTGGTACAGAAAAGTAAAGTTAGGGTTCCAACTATCTGGGTGACACTCTGAATACAACATTAGTTCAACAATTACCTGGCATGCATTGAGCAAATATTATGAGATAGGCACTACTCTAGGCATTGAAGGAACAAGGGTAAAGATATTTCTGCACTAATAGAATGTATATTTATGTCTGTGTGAAAGGAGAAGAGTCAAATAATATACATATGAATTGCCATGGAATGGAAGAAGACAAAGTAGAATGCCAGGAAAGGAAGACTGGGTAGAGAAGGGGGGCTTGCCGTTGAAATCTACGGATTCAGACATGTGGTAAAGTCAAGTCTAAGGACTAGGTGAGTCAACTATGAAGATTAGGTAGCTATTTGGGGAGAGTGTGACCTAGACAGAACAGCAAGTATAAAGTTCTGGAGGTAAAAACATGCTTGGTATATTTTAGGAACAACAGGAAGGGTTATATCATTTTAGGATCATGGCTGAGGGTAATAGACTCTGAAGATGAGCTCGGAAAATCAGTTAGGGAGCAGAAACTGTAGGGGCCAAAAGTCTACAGTAGGGAAGAGTTTGGATTTCTTCTAAATGTAGCAAGAAGCTGAGTGTTAGGGAGGGAAATGACATGTTCTATCTTGCATTTTAAAAAGATGACTTTGGGCCCTCCCTGGTGGCGCAGCAGGTTAAAACACAGCACAAAGAAGCTTGAACCACCTCTGCATGAGTTCGATTCCCGCCTGCCCGGGAGGTGATCCACAAGGCGAGGCAGACCTCTCCTGACCCACCTGCTGCTCCCCTCAGCAGTGTACTTCGTCGATCTGCCTGTTCTGTACCTCCACTCTGTCTCCCTCTGCATCTCTGGCCTGTACCCCAGTTCTGTATGAATAAATAATCTTTTTCTTAAAAAAAGATGATTGACTATTGTCTAGAAATTAGAATGTAGAAGAACAAGAATAAAAATAAGGAAGGCAGTAATGAGGTCATAATAAAATCCAAGGCAAAGGATAATGTTGGCTTAGATTTGGGTGGTAGTGGTAGACATGATAAGAATATATTTAGAAAGTGGAGGGATTTATGGATACCAGGTATGGCATGAAAGAAAGAAGAAACCCAGTTTGGAGCTTATGCAATGCATGAACAGAGGGACCATTTTTAGGTTGGGGAATATTTGGAAAAGAGGAAGTTTAGGGATGAAAATCAAAGAGTGAAGATGGGGAATATTACATTTGAGATGCTATCTGTACTCAAGAAAGATGCCAAGAGAATAGCTGCATATATGAATCTGTAGTAAAGAGTCATCAGGGTAAAGTCATAGGACTAGATGAAATCATTTAGGAGTGAACATAGATGGGAAGTTGTCCAACTTCTGAACATGTAATCACACTAATAATTTGTTGAGAAAGAGGAGAATTATCTAGCAAAGTGTTAGAAGCCATGAAATCGGAAGAAAGCAAAGTTGCTGTCCCTGAAGTCAAATGGAGAATATCTCTTAAGGAATAAGTATACAGATGTGTCATGTTGTCAAATGCTTTAGAAGACTAAAAACTAAAATTGAAAACCAACTCCATGATTTGGCAATGTAGAAATCACTGAGGATGAGGGCATAGCACTTTCACTGGAGTTTACTGTAGTAAGTGGAGTGTTCAACAGAAGATCAAAAAGCGGAGGTATAAGCAACAAATACAGGCAACTTCTTTCAATGAGTTTTGCTTAAAAGGAGTGCAAAAAATGGAATGGCAGTTAGAGGAGAATGAAGAGTCAGGATATGGTTTCAGACAGGTGATGTTACTTGCCAAATGAAAATGATTCAGTAGAAAAGAAAAACTGAGGATACAGGAGAGGGAAATAACAGCTAGTAGTAGAAAAGCTTTTGAAGAGGTGAAACAGATGGAATCATCACAAGGGGGAGGAAATAGACTATGATAGAAGCAGACAACAGATGCAGGTTGAACGGTAGAATTGTTGGTAGGAAGATGTACAGATTTTCTTCTTATTGCTTTTATTTTCCTAATGAAGAAATTTATTTTCCTAATGAAGACAGAAGTCCATCAGATAAGAACAAGCTATGAGAATCACTTAGTTGGACAATAAATCTATTCAAAAAATGTTATGACAAATTCACTAGACAAATGCAAAAAGGATCATCACGTGGCAATAAGAATTTATTTGAAGCTTCTAGTTACAAACATTCAAGTGAAACCTGCTGAAGTATGTTTTTCTCTAGTCACACTCACCTGTTTGGAAGCAACACTGCGTAAATGGAAATTTAGGATTTCAAAAGATTGGGATTTAATCAAATGAGCTGAACAGACTACAAAGTCAGGGACCAATTTTAAGAAAAGACCATAAAGTATAAGTAAAGAAAGATGTAGGAATGTAATGAGGTGATGGGAAGAGGTAGTGAGAACAATGTAATGTACATCCCAGGGGGTTAAAAAAGTATAGGAATCCAGGTAAAGATAACTGCTAGACAGATAATAGGAGTCTGAAAATAGGATGCTTGAAATGGAAATTTCTGAAGGGGGTGTACCAGTAATGCAAGAAAATAAGGTTATGGGCCACAGGAATGAGTGCCTAAGGTAGGGTAGGCCACAAGATCACTGGGGGAAGAAAGGTCAGGGACCACAGACACTACATTCACCAAATATTCAGCATGAGACAGCCAGTGAATGATGGCCACAGTGGGAGTAGTCAGTGCTATAGTCAGTGAATGTGTTTCAAAAGAGGTGTGGTTCAGTGACTGGGGAGGAACAATACCCAGAAACAACAAGGACTAAAGAGACATCTACTACTTTTTTATACTCTGAATAGTTCTCACAACTATCCATAAAAGCATAAAATAACTTAAAAAATTAAAAACAGAATGAGGGAAAGTTTGGGAGAAAAATAAATTAGGCTAAATATTTTTTTAATTTTCTAAATTAGGCTGAGTATTTTTAAAGATGAAAATTACAATTAGAATTTTTTAAAAAGTAATTCATGTTCTGGGCCTCCCTAGTGGTGCATAAATTAAGTCTCAGCTCTATCAAGCTATTGCAAACTGTGATGTGAGTTTGATTCCCAGCCAGGGAGCTGACCCACATGGTACAGCAGATCGCTCCTGTCTCGACCACTGCTCTCCTCCACAGTGTATTTCAGTAGATCCATCTGTTCTGTTCCCCTCTCTGTCTCTGGTAAATCCTCTCACCCCTTTGCACCTCTGGCCTGCTCATAGTTCTTATATGCATTAAAAAAAAAAAAAAAAGTAGTTCATGTCCCATTGTGGATTGTAAAAAAGCAATTCAGCCACAGTCAACTTTTTAAAAAAATTAAATAGAAATTATGATTTCTGGACATAGCAAAAGCATTATTTCATAATACTTTTTTCTAATAAAACACACATTAGATAGTAAAGAAAAACTTCTAATATAACAGTTTCTATATATAACTTATCTTAATTTCTGAATAGAGAAGATAATTTCTTAATTTCTCTATTCTTATCTGGATCCACAAAATTATCATGCAAGGCCAAATAATTATCACTGCCATGTATCAGGAAGCTGGCCCAGGAGGTCATGCCACAGAAACTGTACTAAAAAAAAGCTCTCTGAGCTACAACAGGTGTCATCTCTGTTATAGAACATGTATTTTGTGCTGATAGTATGATTTGTCAGAGAACAATGAGTAATGACCCATACTTACTTCACCATCTTTGGAAAGCTTTCTACCACACCTCATGCTATTTCCCTCTAGTTCTTCTTTATTGATTTCTTGAGGCCTAGAAATATATATAAGACATGAAATCTCACAGAAAGCAGGCAACTGGCATTTAAAAATATTGTGAATTAAAAAGACAGATGAACTTGCTTCTAGACTTAATTTTTTTTGTGGTAAAATTAAAATATGCCATTGATTAAACTTAGTTCATTGTTTCTGCTAACTAGGAAAGATTTAAATCCCTAAAATTTAACTTATTGTCCAGACTTCTATAATATTTATATTAGGGTGCAGCCAAATCAGAAAAGAATAGAGAAAATATCTTTTTATTTATTTATTTAAAGATTTAGTCAACGCATACAGAATTGGGATACAGGCCAGAGATGCAGGGGATGAGAGGATTCACCAGAGACAGAGTGGGGAGCAGAACAGGCAGATGTACTGAAATACACTGTTGAGGGGGGGAGCAGTGGGCAGGTCAGGAGAGGTCTCCCACACCTGTGGGTCACCTCCCTGACTGGGGATTGAACTTGTATTGCAGTGGCTGACATAGCTTCATAGTGCTGTGCTTTAACTCATTGAGCCACCAGGGAGGGCTGAAAAATATCTTAATTCTGCTCACCAATAAAATACAATACTTAAAAGTCTAGCTACTAAGTAAAATAAATTAAATTCTATTATTTAAGACTTGGTATCACCTACCATTCGGTATTTTACATATAAGCCTTTTTATGCAGTAATCATACAAACTCATTATTTAATAGAAAACAGTAGAATTTTACCACTTTATCTATACTTGGTAGCCTACTTTAAAAGATTGCAACAGATGAGTTTCCTTGTTTTGCTCCCAAGAGGATCATCTAAATGTTAATTAGAGGTGCACTGTATAAAAGAGAACTATGGTTTGGGGCAAAACTGGAACATTTCTTGGACCTCAGAAACAAATACAGGTGGCACAGAGGGTACATAGAAGAGAGTCCCAACCCTTGGGATTGGTAGTGACCTACTTTAATCAATGGGCAGATCAACTAGGTAGAACATCAACAAGGAAACAATCACCTGAATTGAAGAATGAGACCACATGGGCTTAACAGGTATGTATAGGGCACCTCATCAACAAAACTTGAGTATACATGGAACACTCCCCAGGATAGATCACACGTTGGGGGGGGGGGGGAAGGGTCACAAAACAAGTGTCAATATATTCATGAAGACTGAAATATATCAAGATCTTCTCTGATCACAGTGGTATCAAATTAGCTATCAACTACAAAAAGAGGGGGGAAATCTCAAACATGGGAAGACTAGATAGCATGCTACAAATGACCATTAGTTAACAAGAAATCAGAGGTGATATTGAACAATATTGGAGGTGAACAAAGACACAAGCTACCAGAACCTATAGGACACAAAAAGCAAATTGAATATACAATAATGTATAAGCCTACATCAAGAAACAAATAGCTTAAGTAAATAACCTAACATTACACCTTAAGGGACTAGAAAAATAAGAACATAATGAAAGCACAGCTACTCAACATAGTATTGTTAGTCCTAGCTAAAGCAATTATGCAAGAGAAAGATATAAAAGAATTAAACTGTACATAAAGACAAACAAAAAAGTAAAACTATCACTATTTGCAGAAAACATCTATACACACACACACACACACACACACAAACACACAACAAAAACTAATCAAAAAGTTCAAAAGATAAATGAAACCACAGCTGGTTCATTGAAAAAAAAAATAGTACAGATAAATCTGTATTTCTAATCTCATGAAGAAAAAAGGGAGAAAACTAATGCATAGAATTAGAAAAGGGGATCATAAAAAACTACTATGAACATCTTTATGCTAATAAACTAGATAACCTAGAAGAAATGGACAAATACTATTCTTCCATATTGGAATCAGGAAGAAACAGAGAAGTTGAACAGAGGAATTACAAGCCCAGGACCAGACAGTTTCACTAGTGAGTGCTATCAAACCTTCAAAGATAAATACCAGGTCTTGTCAAACTTCCAAAGTGAGGAACAGGGAATGCTTACAAATACATTTTATGAGGCCAGCAAGCAGTTGTCTGATACCAAAAGCAGATGTCACAAAAAAAGTACACTACAGACCACTATCCCTGATGAACAGAGATGCAAAAATACTCAAACACCTTACCAAACCAAACCCAACAATAGGTTAAAATGACAATACATCATGATAAAGTGAGATTTATTCCAAGGACAATTCATCGTTCACAAACTGATCAGTATCATTCACCACACCCACAAAGAGAAAGATCAAAATCGTATCAGTAGATACAAAGAAATCATTTGAGAAGATTCAAAAGGCTATATATGGCAAACCCAGAGGTAGTACAAAAACTCAACGGTAAAAAATTGAAACTTTTTCTTTTAAGATAGGGTATAATGGTAAGGGTGTTCATATTTACCACTACTATTTACCACAGTATTGTAAATCCTAGCTAGAGCAGCAAAGAAAGATACAAAGAATTCAAACTGAAAAAGATAAACTATCATTGTTTGCAGATGACAAGATAATATACATAGATGAACTCTAAAGAGTCTACTAAAAAAGTATTAGAAACAATGTATCAGTGCAGTGAAGTGACAAATCCTGTACACAAAAAGCTGTTGTGTTCTTTCTATAAGAAAGAAATCAAGAAAACAATCCCATTTATAATTACATCAAAAATAAATACATATGCATAAACTTAACAAAGGAAATAAAAATCTGTACAGTAAAAACAGTAAGATATTATTAAATAGAAGAAAACAGAGAAATGGAAAGATAATCCCTGTTGATGAATTGAAACATTAACATGGTTACAATGGCCATCTTACTCAAAGCATATACAGATTTAATGCAGTCCCTTTTGAAGTTCTAATGGCATTCTTCAAAGAAATATAGTAAAGATTACTTAACTTTATATGGGACTACAAAAGGCCCTGAAAGCCACAGCAATCTTGACAAAAAAGAATGAAGGCATCATATGCCTCGACTGAAACTATACACAAAGCTATAGAAATCAATAGATTATGGTATTAGAATAAAAAGAGATGCAATAATCAATGGAACAGGCTAGAAATAAACTCACATGTTATGGGCAATTAATCTGTTACAAATGCACCAAGAGAATATAGAAAGGAAAGTCTCAACAACAAATGGGATTGAGAAAACTGGATAGTCATATGCCAAATGAAACTATCTCACACCATAAAGGGAGGAGTGCAACAGATTAAGGGGGAGGGTTATGGGTGCTTTTGGAGATGGGTATGATGTGGTATCTGAAGAGATACGAACCTAAAAAATTAACTTAAAACCTACTCTGTATACTCACAGATGGGTTATTTCTTTGTAATGTATATTCTAAGGAGATCGTTAAGCATCAAATAACAAATGTGGGAGTACCAGTATTTATGAATTGCAAAACACGATATATTTCCCCTTAAAGTAAGTACAAAAATATCTTGTGGGGGTCAAATGCTTCTGGGGAAGGCATCTGTAACCAAATGTTAATTCATTTTAGACTCAAAGATCTCTGAAACCTTACTACATTAATCAGAAGTGGTAAAACTACCACAAATAAGAAAATTAGCTCTACCTACATATAAATATGATGATGTTTTATGAAAACATACTTCAAGTAATAGTTTAATGTTCTGAAAGAAAATGATTTAACTAAGAAAATGATTTTACTTGTAAAAATATAAGTAGAATTGGTTGAGCACAAAACAAAGTATATGAGTGACTCAATTTTACCAATACAGCAAATAACAAATCAAACATGTCATTATACTATCTAATTGACCAGAAAGATGACTGATGTTATAAAATGTAAGTTTACTATATGATTTTTTCTCTACCTTCAATAGCTCGATTTTTAATTTAATGAATATATTTAAAAAATTTCACAGAAAGTAAGTTTTTTAATGAAGGATTAGGTATGATGTAATAATACTTACCCCACCTCACTGTCTTGTTCTGCTCGAAGCATAGCTAGCCACTGCTGTTTATATACAGAAGATAACCATTCTAAAATGTAAAAGTATATAAATATAAGAACTATGGAAGGAAAAAATATTCAGATAAAATGATGACAATTTCTACATTCATTTGAAAAGCAACAAAAAAAGTTGGTAATTTATATTTTATAAATAGGCTATAACTAGAGCTTAATGGAATAAACAACTTGCTGTGCTTACATTAGACTCAGGTTATATACATTGCAATCAGGATTTATATTTATAGCTAAAAGTATACCCTCTCATTGGATAGTTTCCTTTTCATTGTTCATATTAATTTTAATTAGTAAGAAACATACTTTAAAGCAGTATCTTCAATTTATACAGCTTTAAAAGAAAATTGAATAAATGAATCTTTCTTGTATTGAATTATCTAAATAGTCTGATGAATCATACATTCAAGAAATAATTTTGGCTATTAAAATTAGATAACCATTGCTAAAAATAGAATATTTTAGTTTAGTCTAAATGGAATAAAAATTATATTTTCCTTTAATAATGAACATATGTATTTCCCCCCATATCTATATAAACTGAAATTTTCATTATTTTATATTAAAACAGATTAAAAATATAAGTAGAATTGGTTGAGCACCATAATTATTTTTCTGCTTTTAGTCCCAACTTAAAGGTTAATTTTTCTATTTTTTAAAATTAAATAATTTCTCGGCCCTCCCTGGTGGCGCAGCGGGTTAAAGCACAGCACTGAGAATCTGAAGCCACTTCCGCATGAGTTCGATTCCCGCCTGCCGCCTGCCCCGGAGGAGACCACATGGCGAGCCAGACCTCTCCTGACCCGCCCGCTGCTCCCCTCAGCAGTGTACTTCGTCAATCTGCCTGTTCTGCTCCCCACTCTGTCTCTGGTGAAGCCTCTCACCGTCCCTGAGCCTCTGGCCTGTACCCCAGTTCTGTATGAATAAATAAATAAATCTTTAAAAAAAAAATTAAATAATTTCTCAATTTCTATCAAAAAGGGAAAACCCATAGTGTGATACAAATCTGGGTTTTCATTCTGTAAGTCTTTAATAAAGTATTCAGATGATTTCACTGATTTATTAATGCCTGTCCGAAAAACTCTCTATTTGAATGTCTCTTTCCTGCAAAATAAAATTCTTGTTGTTATGAGGAATAACTGAGAAAGGGCAAGGCCACAGACAATTTGGCTTCAGTAGGTAAAGGCTATCACAAAGCTTATTTGCTTCAGTATACCTACATAAGCTGTTTTATTTGCAGTGTACTTGGGTTTTAAAATCCTATTCTGCATTTTATTAAAAACAGTAACAGGCCCTCCCTGGTGGCGCAGCGGGTTAAAGCACTGCACTAAGAAGCTTAAGCCACTTTCACATGAGTTTTATTCCAGCCTGCCCTGGAGGAGATCCACATGGCACGGCAGACCTCTTCTGACCCGCCCGCTGCTCCCCTCAGCAGTGTACTTCGTCGATCTGCCCGTTCTGCTCCCCACTCTGTCTCTGGTGAATCCTTTCACCCTCCGCATCTATGGCCTGTACCCCACTTCTGTATGAATAAATAAATCTTTACAAAAAAAAAAAAGCAATAACAAAAAAACAGATCTGTTCCCATTAAAATAATTTCTAAACGCAGTAATGGTTATGTCTGCAATTTGAAATTTATTCATCTAGTGACAGAATATGGTTTTTCACAGTTCATTTAAAACTGGAATGAAACAGAAACACACATGAAATTCTTGTAGATGCAGCCCATGAAAATGCTTTAAAATTTAAGTTCCAATAACTTTAATGTCTTTTAAAACCAAGAGCACTTAACAAAGTAAAAACGTGGGTACATATCTGCTTCAGTCCAAAGGAGTAAAAAGTTAGTCACAGGTAGATCTTTCAGTAGCAGCAGCCCCAAAATAAGTAATATAATTCAAATGCAATGTTGACAACTAATACAAGGGGAAGAAAAGAATCTCTTCTAAAATAAATTTGAAAAACATGGGATGAAAGGAAAAAAGTGAACTGGGTTCCTTTAACGAGAATTTTCAATATGACTAGATGCCATCAGATCTCTAGGAGGGAGGTACATTAGGTAGAGTGTAACTTTCTGGCTAAGTTAGTGTTTAGTGTAAAGATTTTGAACAGGTACCTTTCAAGAAAATTCTACATAAAGAGAATAAGATTAAGTATTTATTTTAAACTTGATCAAATCCAAAATAAAAATTCAAAATGGGTACACATGATGTAGCTTCTGACAGAGCCATGATTTATCAGCTACAGAGCTATTCTACAGCAGTTTTCTGATACAAATAAATTCTCTATGTTAGAATGAATGTATTAGATTATTTCTTTTATCTTACAGAAAGGATATGAGAAGCTTTACTGTTAGAAAATTTAATGTTTTATATTTATAAAATAAAAAAAGGTATGTTTCTAGCTTGCCTAGTATTAAGTGAAAGAACACTATTATCAGGTACACAAAAACTTATTTACAATAAGTGAAGCTTACAGGTAAAGTTCTGCTTAAAAGGTTAACTGCATATTAAACATAAGTTAGATGTAGAGAATGAAGGACAGAAAGTTTATATAATTAAAAAAAATTCTTATTTGGATAAATAACAAAAGACCCTATGTATAAATTAATGCAAAATAATAGAGAAGTGTGGCTCAAAGGTACTCAGGCATAATGACCTGAAAATCTAGTTCCAGTTCCCTCCCTTGTGGCACAATGGGCTAAAACTCAACACTATGAGGCTAGCCACAGCCACTTCAACAAGAGTTTAATCCCTGGCCCGGAGGTGACCCATATGGTGTAGCAGACCTCTCCTGACCTGCCTGCTGCTCCCCTCAGCAGTGTACTTTGTTAATCACCTGTTCTGCTCCCCACTCTGTCTCTGGTGAATCCTCCCACTGCCCCTGCACCTCTGGTCTGTACCCCAGTTCTGTATGCAAAATCTAATCCCAAAAGATAACAAATTGTCTGTATACTCTTGAGTAATTCAAAGCTATTTTCTCAATAAAGTTACATGCAGTATGTAACTTTTTAAGTAACTTACTTTCACAAAATTTGTATCTCACTTCAGAAAAGATAAACACCTTTTCAAATTGAAAATCTTCTGTACAGCAAAAGAGACACTAACCAAAACAAGGAAAAAAAACTGGGGAAAAAAAAAAAACCTTTGCATTCCATACAACTAATATACAAAGAATACAACTAATTCAACAAGAAACAAAATAAATAATCCAGTCAAGAAATGGGCAGAACTTTTTGTTTTATTAAATTATTATTATTTAAAAAAATAATGTAATAGTTCATTTTTACATCATGTTGTGCCTTTTTCCATCTCAGTTGTAATCCCTGTGGGCTTCTCATCTCCAAATCACTCATGTGCCATCACCATAGCCCAGTGCATTTACCTCCACTCCCCATTGGTCAGAAGAACGTTTAAAAGACACTTCTCCAAAGATTAAGAGTGATCAGAGAGAGCAGAGAAGAATGAGAAGAGTATTTCTAAACTAAGGTGACACAGCAGAAAACTTCAAGAAAAAAACGAACATTATATAAAATGTTAGTGAAGCTAAAACAAGGCCAACAGATTTACTAATAGGACAGTCCAAAATTTAACTGACATTTCAGTAAAGCAGTGTGAGCAAAAGACAATGTGAGAAATGGTGGAAAGCCAAAGAGAAGGTATCTGAGGACTACTCTGAAGAAGATCTTTACCAGGGAGAATATAGTTGTTATGGATTGAAAATTAAATAGCAATGTAAAAAGGTAATGAGGCTGGGAATGATCACAAAAATATATGAACTGATGAAACAACAAAAATAAACAACCCCATCAAAAAATGGGCAGAAGAGCTAAAAAGACACTTCTCCAAAGAGGAAATGCAGATGGCCAACAAGCATATAAAAAAATGTTCAACATTACTCGTAATAAGGGAGATGCAAATTAAAACCACAATGAGATACCACTTCACCCCAGTGAGAATGGCACATCTTCAAACAACTAGCAACAACAAATGTTGGCGAGGATGTGGAGAAAAAGGAATTCTCCTGCACTGCTGGTGGGAATGCAAACTAGTACAACCACTATGGAAAACTGTTTGGAGGTTCCTCAAACTGCTTAACATGGAGTTTCCCTACAACTCAGCAATCCCCCTCCTAGGTATCTACCCCAAAGACACAAAAACACTGATTGAAAAAGATACCTGCACCCCCATGTTTATTGCTGCTTTATTTACAATTGTAAAAACATGGAAGCAGCCCAAATGCCCAAAAGTAGATGACTGGATAAAAAAGATGTGGTACATATATACAATGGAATATTACTCAGCAACCAAAAAGAGAAACACATGTCTTTTGCAGCAACTTGGATGGAGCTGGAAAAGATCATGCTTAGTGAGATAAGCCAGAAAGAGAAAGAAAAATACCAGATGGTTTCACTTATAGCAGGAGTATAATGGACCAGGCGAGAAAATAACAAGAATAATGAACAGCCATATACCAGAGACATTTTGCGGGGGTGGAGCAGGGAATGGGATCAAAAACGGGGAGGGGGGGGTGGGGAGGGAAGTGCACGGGATTATGGTGATGGCACATGGGTGACTTGGTGATGGGAAACCCGCAGGGATTACAATTGAGGTGAAAAAAAAAAAATGTACAAAATGATGTAAAAATAAACTGTTATATGAAGAAAAAGGTAATGAGGCTGGGGGAGGTGCAGCAGGTTGGAGTGCAGCACTGTGAAAGGGACCATGATTGCCTCAGTGCGAGTTCAATCCCTCTTCCTGGAGGTCACCCACATGGCAAGGCAGACCTCTCCTGACCCACCCACTGCTCCCCTCAGCAGTGTACTTCATCTACCTGCCTGTTCTGCTCCCCACTCTGTCTCTGATGAATTTTCTAATGGTCCCTGGACCTCTGGCCTATACCCCAGTTCTGTATGCATAAATAAATAAAATCTTAAAAAAAAATAGCCTGAAAATGACTGGATCCCTGAAGACTTCTGTATTACAAGGTTCATGCTGTTTCCATGGATGGTGAATGCCTAATGTTCAGCAAATAAATGTAACTAGAGTGGAGGTCGAATTATTAGAAAGCTAAGGTAATAATGGAATAATCATGTTAGTACATTATGTGACTGTGCCAGGGTAAAGAGGCAGATAGTAAACCAGGTGGCCAGCATTAAATGAATGTGGAGGAATGACCTAAGGTTATGAAAGAAAAGACAGAAGATGAGTTCAAATCAAATGCACTAATAGTTTGGAAAGGGTATTGAGGGCTTGGCCCACAATTATCTGTATTCTTAGCTGCATATTTGCAGGGTGGCTTAAGAGAAAATGTCCTCTACAGAAGGAAGACAGTATCTTTTTAAGACTTAAATAAATGAAAGAAACAGAAGATATGAGAGGTTGGTTTTAGAGCACTCAATAGAAAGGTTTGGGAGAAACAGAACAAAGATGTCAGAGATATCAGAGAGAAGAGGGACACATAACAATGAGAATGTGGAAAACAACAGATTTAATGATTTGTCCTTTGATAAATCAAATTTTGCTGAATAATGGAGTTATACCTTTGTGACTGACACAGTTGAATCCTAAAATGTAATAATTCTATACTAAGTCCTGATTTAACTTGGAATACATTTCTAAGATTTTTGACCTAAAGCTGGTTAAAACAGATTAAGAAAAAGCCCCAGATTGCTGAATATAAAACTCTGAATAATGTTAACAAGTTTATACCATTGGATGGAAGGATGTCTGAAAAGGAAGCAATGAATTTTAGCAAAGTAAATTTAATTTTGTTTCAAATCCAGAAGTCACTGCTATTGACAGCATATATCAATCTGCCTTGATAACAATAAGCTATGTGGTCACCTTTTGCCTCTTCCTAACAGCATGGGATTTAATATTAATTTATATTGTGATTACAAAACTATAGCTTGTATTTGGCCATATCAGAAACCTATTTATCCACTTAGTTGTGTAAGATGCAGTATTCTAAAGTAAAGGGGAGAGGGAAGGAAAAAAAAGAGAAAAATGGAAAAGAAAGTCCTATGCTGTAACTAAGATTGAAATCTGGTCAGAAACATAAAAGACTCCAAATCTTTCCAATCTTATACTGAGTAAATAGCTCAAGCTAAAAATACTTGTACCACCTTGTATTCCAAAAATATAAAGCTTGCTATCGACTTGTATCAGACATACCTAAACTATTTTAGAAATGACTTTTTTTAAGCCTCTTTCAAAATCCATTTCTAAAGCACCTTAAAAAGAAGCATGATTAGAGCAGGAATATGTAATTGATGTTGCCATCTATATTCTAACAATGAATGGTTAAGGGTTTCTGTGAAGATTATATTCTGATAGTATAGCAGTTCTATAATAGTTTCAGTATGTGTTACACAGCAGATACTAGCAATGGTATAAAATATGTGTATCTTATTGGGATTAAGGATAACTGTTATTCATTATTCTTTTCTATGATATATGTATTTATTACTATTATAATGATAGACGTATTACTTAAAATTTACATAATATAACATGTTCTCTTACCTGAAGGAACCAGAGAATCTTGTTCAATAATCCTTGCAGAGGCCAAATCACTGATAATATACTGTAACCTTAAGTGTTTGAATACTGACACAAATGGTTTTCCTTGCTCAGTTTCAAGAAAGGTCACACCTTCAAAATCTATTAAAATTAAAAGTTTAAATTAGTCTTTCTCTAATTTATTTTAACTGTTTTCATGTACATGGATATATATATATACTAGTTTCAAAGTTTCCAAGAATTTTATATACCTCAGATGTGTGGATAAAAACTTGCAAAGATTTAGAAAAAAACTCCCCAGGAATTTCACTTTGCTCCTAATTTCACCCGTGGGCTAGGAATTCCACTGTATACTTTTCTGGATTAGGAGTTTCCAGTAGAGCAAGATGGGAAAGGAAGGCTACAGAATGGCAGGTAGAATTATGGTATCTCTTCAGAATTCCCTCTCCCAAAGACTGAACACTCCAGCAAAACTCTAAAGCCGAGATGCTTTCTTCAAGGGATTCACAAAATACAAAAGGCATGAACATTTTTTTTTTTTTTTTTT